ATTATAGCCGAGCTCAATAAGGTCACTATTCGACTCGACTCGTTTACACCCCTAAATAACACTCACACTATCACTATAAAACTTTCCATTCCTTTTTTGTTTGCCAAGTTTTGTTATAACACTTTGCAACCATATCATTTCCTTGCTAGCCTCAGTGATAATGAGATATTAAGCTTTTATGGTTGAAAAAACAACGATTTTCTATAACTTGAAAACCTAATTTACTTTCGTGCCTTCTAAAGTAAGATATAAACTTTTATACTTCATCTACCATCAACATCTTTAGTAAGATCAGAATTTATATATCCCTCTAATTTAATCCATGCGTATCCAAAGTAAAGAGCTTTGTCAACTAGTCTTCTCAAGTATCTGAGAATCCACTTAACTGCCTCCCAATGAAGTTTGGCTGGATTACTCATAAATCTGCTAACCACTCCCACTATATATGCTATATATGGTTTTGTATAGATCGTAACATACATTAAACTTCCAACTACTAAAGCATATAGAGTCCTCTCTATCTTTTTTTGCCCTATTTCAGATCTACATGATTGTTCTTTAGATATTGAAAGTGACTAGGAGAATGAAAAATTGTTTTGCCTCACTCATGTTAAATCTTTTTAGCATCATTTCAACATACTTAGCCTGAGACGAATTTTAGTATATCTGCACTTTTATCTCTATTGATTCTCACATCAAGAATTTTTTTCGTTGGACATAAATATTTCATTTTAAACTCTATTGATAACTACTCCTTTAGCTCTCTTATCTATGCCATACATGATTTTGCAATTAATATATCATCCATATACAAGAGTAGTAATATATAACAACTATCAAAATATTTGAAAAAAAAAATAACAGTGATCTACCTGGAACTTGATGTATCATTTGTCTGACATAAATCTGTCAAATCTTTTGTGCTACTATCATAATGTTTGGTTTAGCCCATGCAAGTTCTTTTTGAGCCTACACAATAAATCTTCTTTATAGGTATCACATATCCTTGAGGTTGTCGCACATACCACTCTTCTTCTAGATCATCATGAAGAAATACTGTCTTCACATCCATCTATTCAAGTTGTAAGTCCTTAATTGCTATTGTGCTTAGCACAACTCTAAACGTTGTAATCTTTGCCGTTGGAGAGAAAATTTCAATATAGTTCACTCATTCTTTTTGCTGAAAACCTTTAACTATAATCCTAATCTTGTAGCGCTTGCTACCATCTATTTTTTTTAAGCTTGTATACCTATTTATTCTACTGTGCTTTCTTGCCATCAGGTAGCTCAATCAACTCAAAAGTCTAATTCAACTTAAGTGAATGCATCTCATTATCTATTTCTTGTTTTCACTTTTTTAATTATAAATTTGCATGACCTCATCATAGCACTATGGTTTATTACCTAATTAGTATACAGAAGGAAAACACCTGTGTTGATCATCAGATTCCAATGGATCTTCTAACTCTAGTAGCAGGTTTTTGAGGAGCACTCTGTGCTTCATCAGCTTGGGCATACCTCATATCTTTATCTTCCTAATCATCGTCATCTTTTATCTCAACATAATTAGATGAATATCTTAGAGTCTCATATCTATTCTTGTACATTTTATTTTCATCAAATGTGACATCCCTGTTTCTGATGAATTTATGATTATAATATGAACATAATTTATAGTCAAATTCATATGAGACATATCCAATAAATGTACATTGGATAGACTTTGGATCAAGCTTACTACTACATCATGCATCAATATGAATATAAGACAAACAACCAAAGGTTCTCAAGTGAGATAAATTTATCTCCTTACCACTCAAGGCTTTCTTAGGTAATCCCTTATTCAGGGAAACTGATGGATCACGATTGATAAAATAAATAACAATATTCACTGCTTCTGCCTAGAAGTGTTTATATAGACCAGCATGCAACCTCATGCTCTTGACATGCTCTGAGATAATTCTATTCATGCTATCTAAAACATTACTCTACTATGGTGTTCTTGGAATAATGAACTCATGTCTAATCCATTCAAAGCATACAACTTTTTAAACTTCTTATCATGATACTTCGCCACCATTATCTAATCTGATACGCTTCAACTTTAACCTGCCTCATTCTCAACCATGACTTTCCATTGCTTGAACACTTCAAACATATTTGACTTGTGTTTTTAAAAGTACAATCATACTTCTCTATTATGACCATTTATAAAGGTAACAATATTTGAAGACCCTCCTATAAAAAGAATTGGAGCAAATCCCATATATTTATATGCACTAACTCCAACTTCTTTGACTTCACCATAAAATCAGTCTTTGAAAAGCTTATCTTCTATTGCTTGTCATATATAAAGTTTTCACAAAAATCCAAATCTATAGATTTTAAACCAGGAAGCTTTCCTTTAGTAAGAGCTAAAGGCATACATTTTTTACTCATTTGGCCAAATCTATGATGCAAAAAATCTCCATCAACATTTGAATCAACTACTCCCAAAGAATGTAACATTTTGTTGAGAACATAAGGGTGCCTTAAATGCAAGCATAAGCTATAATCATAGCTCCTTATGTCACATTTCACAAAATTTCTGTGAATAATGCCATATAGCTTGAGTGTGCAAGTTGACTCATAGAAATTAAATTTCTCTTTAGGCAAAGGACATGTCTAACATTCTTTAATTTCCAAGTAGATATATCTAGCAATTTGATTTTGATATCAACATCGCTCTGTCCTACTATGTTGTAGGGCTTATGATCTCCCATATGCATTTTTTCTTGATCACCTTAAGTGTAGTTCTTGAATATGTCTTTATTTGAACTTATATGAAATGAACCACCTGAATCTCTTACACAAGATTCAAAAATATCCAAAGATAAAATCAGATAATTACTCTAAAATTCTTCTGTAGATATATTTACAGAGTGACTTTCATCTTAACCTCTTCATTCAACATTTCTTTACAATCCTTCTTAAAGTGACTTTTCTTTCCACATTTCCAACCCTCAACCTTCTCTTTTCTTGTTTTGGATTTTTCTCTCATGGATTTAGGTTTTCCTCTACTTATATTTTTTTAAGCCCTTTCCTTTGGTTTTAACATTCAGAGTAGGATTTGAAGATTTACCATTCATCTTCTTACAAACCTCTTTCATTCAGCGCTAACCCCATGATGTCCTCAAAGTTTAACTTTGTACTCCCGAAAGAATTACTCACCATAGTAACTAGCCCATCTTAACTACCTAGAAATGAAAAAAAAAAATGGTTGTCACACAGAACACTAATATTTAATGTGAAAAAATCAAAATCGACAAAAAAAATTACAGAGCCTTACCACACCAAGAAATCCACTATGAAAATGAGAGAAATTGTAAATATTTCTTTTCTCACACTCCCTCCTTATCTCTTCTCACTTCTCACACCATTTTACACTCAGAGCAGACAAATAGATGCACTTCAATACTCTAAAGGACTCAAACCTTCAAGTAAAATAAGAACAAAAAAATTTGCTTAGTCTGAATCCTAGCATTGTGATGCTAGGATCTAGAATCCTAGCATTGTGATGCTAGGATCTAGAGCGCCACAATGCTCCACTCTCTATCCCTAAGTTCACCCTGCAGCACCATGGCGTTGCAGCCTACAATACCGCAATGCTTTAGTGTACAATGTCACGGCATTGTACAATATTGATGAACATTGATCAAATAATTAGATTCTACAAATTCTAACACCGATTAGAGGTGTTTGTGGGTTTATATGTCGTAAGAGTATCATGAGACTTGAAAGAAAAACTTGAAATAAGAATGTTAACATGGATGTATAGTAACATGCAAAAAATATTAGAGTGTGTGAGAATAGTACGTTTAAAGTTTAGGTTGAATGGTGTAAGTTTGTTGCTTTTGGTATGTGGAAGGGATAGAAGAAAATGCCAAAAATTGCATGGAGTAGAATTAATTTGATAGACTTTTGACAGTATGAGCTGTAGACAAGGCTTGTCACGATAAAAAGTTTTACCAAAAAAAAAATCATTCTCGAGGCTTAATACCACATTCTACGCTTAACAAAAATGAATAGAAATCAAGAATACATAATGTTTACCCAAGACGCTATAATGATGGTTTTACGGGTAATTGGATGAATGGATTCACATACATGCAATTTAATTTTATGTGAAAATTGATCCGTAGAGTTTAATATAGACGAGTCCAGCTTTTACAGATTCAACCACCGCAAAAATTGTAACTTCTCGTTTATTTTTTAAGTTAAAGAAGAAACAACCCCTTTGTTCCTAAAAGAAATGAAGCACAAATTACCAGGATGACCGAAGCATTGTTTTAGTTTTATTTAGAAATTTTAAAGTCATGCTATGATTCTAATCGACGGACTTGGATCAATTGTAGAAAAAATTATTGCTTGCATTTATTCATCATTTCATCGTACCTGAAATCCTGGTTAATCTTTGAGGTCATAATGCCAAACTGAATGCATTGGTAATTTCCAACAAGTGAGACTTTTTGGGTGATTAGACATGATGAAGGAAATTGACAGCACTTTTAAGAGCTAAGGTTTAACTAGTTGAGATGCCATGTTGAACATGGAGTAGTGTGTGCTCCTATTTATGAGATACGTTTTATGTTTTAGTTTGAGCGGTTAACAAGGCTGGAATTAGTCGTAGTTCTTATATAGCCTGCTTGCTATGTAGTTTTGTAAAACTCTGCATGTGGTACTGCGTGCAGTGTTTGATGCTGCTTTCAGCTTTATTTTGTAATTAGTGGATATATGTGTTTCATAAACCTTTTTTTAAGGAACCTTGTTATGACATTTCTTTTGTAAAGTATGATCCCTTCATTTGCACAACATTTATGCAAATTCTGTCTCATCTTCTCATATTTAATTTTATTGTTTTAGTCTATTTATTGTTGTACCTTTTTTTATTATCTTTTTATATTTATCTTCAAAACTCTTTACTGAATTGAATGTTAACATTGATGAGCATGCCTTTTCAGTGGGTAATCTTCCAGCTGATCAGGCAAATGAAAAATTGGTTTCTGCATATCGTTTGGAGGAGAGGAGAAACACAGAGAAATTACTACTCCGTTATTTCAGTATTTGTTACAGATCCCAGGTTTCTCTCTCATGTGCTATGTTACATTCTTAAGCAATTCTATTAGGTGGAAGAAAATATTGTAACCATCAACTCTAGTTGATGGGTTTTCAACTTCCAATATATATTATTGATGGTTGGGTAAATGTTTTGTTTTAAACATGATTCATGATTAGAGGTGGGGCATTAAATGTGCTTGGTCAAATTAAGGCTTCGTTTGAGACTGTTTTCTCGTTGCTTTTTAAGGCAATTTTTTAGTAAAAAATAAAATTATTGTACTAAAAAACTGCTTTAAGAAGCAGTAAGGAAGCTGTTCTAAATGAAGCTTAAGTGGGGTCCATAAAGCACTTCCTTATCCTTTCCTAGTCCGATAAGCAGGTCAGTTCTTTTGGCCTGAGCATCGCCTTTGCTTAACTTATATGCACATAAACCATCTGTATGCGGTCTAGCTAAATGAAGCTTCATTGCCCGTAATCAAGCCTAAATGAACCAAACCAATTTCTAGATTCTGGTCTGAATGTGTTGCTAAAACCCAGTTAAAGGTTGGATCATGTCAATTAGGCTGTGGTACTGGTCTTTGGGCTATTTTCCATGTTTACGCATGACTAACAAGCATTGTTAAATTTCCTTCAAGAAGACTACGCTGCTAAAATTACTCTTCATGCAGGTGCAAGCAAAAGTTATTTTGGTGGAAGCGGAATATATTCAGAAAGGAATAGTTGACGTGGTTAAAAAGCATGCTATCAGAAAACTCGTTATGGGGGCATCACCAGATAGGTAAGCTATACTGTTCTTTCAGGCAGATATGGTTTTACTTTTCTCCAGATGAAACATCCTTTCTTGATAAATCATTGTGGAAGTTATTCTAGTAATGTAGAATAAAAATAGAGTATGGTAAATATTAGGCAACATGATAGCAGGAGGTCAGCGCAGTTCCTATCTGCACATTATTATCACTATGGTTCTCCATGTGCTTCCCGCATCTCTGATGCTTGATTGCCGGTTGACACTAAAAACAGGTGCTTCAAGGTTAAAAGCGTATTCAGTAAGGCTATATATATTACAAAGAGTGCTCCTTTCTGTGAAATATGGTTTGTCCACAAAGGAAAATTTGTTTGGGTGAGAGAGGCTATTGATTTGAATGAAACTTTATCAAGTGAAACAATTAAGATAAAGTCATCACAGAATCAAAGCACTGTTCCCATGCGTGATACAAAATATGATAGATCTGCTTCATTTAGCACGAAGGAGCTGGAAAATCATGGTGAGGGGAGCTTGTCCCAATTTTATAGTGCTGGAGAGACTGATTTGTTGGCTGATTCTGATATTTCTCCAAGCGTTTTTTCCGTTGATTCAGAGAACAAGTCATTAGTTGCTAGCAAAACAACTTTGTTTACTTCACGGTGTGAAAAGACATCCCCAACAAAAGCAAACCCCAAGGTACATTTTTTATCATCTTATGCTGTCCTAGAGGTTATATAAAATTGCCTAGTGATATTTACTCTGATTTCAACATTTAGGGAGATCCAGAGCTGGAAAATTTTAGTAGAAATCTCAAAGAAATAATTGCTGAAACTGAAAACGCTGAGAAAGATGTCTATGCAGATTTAAGCAAGCGCAAGGAAATTGAATGTGCAGTTACGAAAACTTTGAGCATGGTAGGAAAGGTTTTTTTTTTATTAGTTCTCACATTTATTTGATCTCTTGCTTTCTAATAAATACTTTCTTTTGTAAAAATCTGTCATTTTAAAATGTAGGATTTAGGATAAGTAATGTAGGATTTCTTCATTGCTGTCAATTCTGTGTTCAACAGCTTCTGATTAATATTTTTGTTTCTCCAAACATTCTTATATTTGTCTAGTACAATATGTTACTGTCTGCAAAGAACTATTAAACCCAAACTTCATATTCTACTTTAAAATTTAAACTTCTTCCGAATCACTCTTGCTAATATTTATTAGTTGCTGATCAAGTTCTTGTTTTTGTCACAAGGTCAAGTCATCTGAAGCTTCTCAGTTGCGGGAAGTTAAGATCAGAGAAGAGCTTGAAGAGCTCATAGTAGTTACCAAGTTGAAGCAGAACGAGCTAGTGAACCAAATAGAAAAAAGCATGAAAGAACTTCAAAGTACAATGGAAAATGTAGCTATCCTTGATGTTCGTGTTCGTGAAATGTTTCATCGTAAAGATAAGGCAACTGTTGAATTGGATTCAACCATGTCTTCTATAGCAGCGCTTAAGCTTGAAAATCAGAAAATCCAACATCAGAGAGACGAGTATGTTCAGCAGATTGAAAGGTTGAGATGCAACCATCGCAGAAAATCCAAAATATGCAATAAGTTTATTGGCTTAGGAAGCGATTCTCTTGATTTCAAGGAGTTTCCACTATCAGACTTGCAAACTGCAACCTTTGGTTTCTCAGATGCCTTTATGATAGGACAGGGAGGACTGGGATGTGTATATAAGGGGGAAATGTTGAACAGAAGTGTGGCAATAAAGAAGTTTCATCATCATAGTATTCAAGGCCAACGAGAGTTCCAACAGGAGGTCTCTCTCTCTCTCTCTCTCTCTCTCTCTCTCTGTGCTTAGTTGATGGATAGATGGAATCTCGTTGAGCTTCCATACTTCATGTATTTGCGGCTGATGTTTTGTGGTGATCTTTGAGCTAAATAAATATTTCATAAAATTCTCCTATATAAAGGAAACTTTTCTCAGTCCTGTTTTATACTTTTTGTCAAAAGCATTTATGTTATCATATTTTGTAGGAAAAGTAATCATTTTTTATTTTTATTTTGAAACAGGTTTTTGTACTCAGCAAATTGAGACACCCTAATCTTGTGACTCTTATTGGAGCATGCCCTGAAGCCTTGTCCCTCGTCTATGAGTACTTTCCAAATGGGAACCTCCATGATCGCATCATCTGCAAAACCATGTCGCCTCCATTAGCTTGGATGACCCGAGTTCGTATTATAGCTGAAATCTCCTGTGCGCTCCTTTTCCTGCATTCATCAAAACCTGAAAAGGTTGTTCATGGTGACCTTAAGCCTATGAACATCTTTCTTGATTCGAATTTAAGCTGCAGGATCAGCGGCTTTGGCTTTTGTGAACTGTTGCTAGATCAGGTTGCAGCAGGGTACCCCTTGCTCCGCCAAACCTCAGTGCCTAAAAATCCCTGTTCTGAGTTTCCATATAGTGATCCAGAATATCAAAGAACTGGCATTCTGACATCAAAATCAGATGTCTATTCGTTCGGCATCATTGTGCTTCAGTTGCTTACTGGAAGGCCCCCACTGGGGCTGGCAACTGAGGTGAGAAGGGCTGTTTTATCCCATCGGTTGTCAGATTTATTGGATTTAACTGCTGGGGAGTGGCCTATAAACGTGTCTGAAAGGCTTGCAGAATTTGGTTTGAAGTGTACTGAACTATGCGGACGCAACCGACCAGAGCTGACACCTGCAGTTGTGAGGGAGTTAGAGCTACTGCACTCAAAGCGGGAGAGGACTGTGCCGACCTCCTTCGTGTGCCCAATTTTCCAGGTGATTAGAAATCTTCATGATATATGTTATAACTAAATGATTATATATCAGGAAAAAGACAAAAATTGTCCACCGACTATTTTTGAAGGACAGAAACAGTTCCAAACAATATAAATGTCTCAAATTTGTCCTCGAATTCTTTTTAATAGGGACCAAAATAATCCTATCTTTCAAATTGGAAGTTAAAATTAACAAAAGAAAACTTTTTGGATCAGTGGAGAACTCACATAGCATGCAGAACTCTTAGGGTATTAGGGATTTTTTTATTACATTTATCCTAGCCTGAGATGGAGAGGTGAGCACAAGATAAGAAGAAACAAGTTGTTATGCTGGCGGCCTAGGAGTGGCCGGCTGAACCGGTTCAACCGGGAGCCCCAATGGGGATTTTTGTTGGACCCGTTCACATTTATAGCAGGTGGCCCAAAGTTTTGGGCGGAACTGGGGGGTAGGCGGAAGCCCCAGTGGGGCCCATGACTTAATTAATGAGTGTTCAGGAAGGAAAATTTGAATTAGGGGCTGTTTAGGGATTTTGTAAACTTCCTTTGGCTTTAATTAGTCTTAGGGAGGCTAGGGTTTGGTTATCTAGAGATTGACTGAAATTTTGAGATCTAGGTTTTGTTTGGTGTGGGCTCTAGGCTTGTTAGAGATTTGAAGAGTATTTCTTCCTCTCGAATTGAAGAAATTTGTATCTTGCTTTGTTTTTCTTGTTTTTGGATTGAATCAAAGTATTTCTCGTGTTTCTCCTCCAATGTACTATATTTCCTGCATGGTTTTTGCTGATTTCTCTTCGAAATCAGCCTTTTTCTTGCTGTTTTTGCCAACTCCTGCTAGGTTTGCTTGCGAACTCAAGTATTGCCCCTTTGGGTTACTTGCGAACTCAAGTACTTTCTATCACAAGTGTAGCTTCCTTTTAATCAGTGATGAGTGGGACTATGGTGCAAGGTCAAAGAAGGACGAACAGTGACGCTACCTCTCTTAGAAGCTGCACACACCAAACTATTGCACATGTTCTTGTGCTCGACAAAATTTTTCCAACCAAGAGAGGTAGATGAGGGACAAAGAATCCCCCCTAGCAATGACGAAGAAGAGTGAAGATTCCTCCTAAGCAGTGATGAATAAGAGTTGACGAAGTCGCCGCCTGATTAGTGATGGCTATGGTACGACGGGAGAAGGGGAGTAGAGAGGCTGGTCCAAACTAGTTGCGGGCTCCGAAAATTCGTGCCCCGACCTTTCGTCTTTCAGGAGAGTTTTAATGAATTAAGTTCCAAGGTAAATTTTCAGGAGGCTGATTGGGGTTGAATTAAGACCCCACCCAGAAATTTCGCCGTCATTTTATGAGGACTTTATGATCTGAGTTTTGGTTTCCAATTGGTGCAAGCCCCTATAATTAATTATCCCTCCCAGTAACGAGAGAGAACTTTCGACTAAGAATAGGGGTGTCAATATTTGACAGGTCGGGTCCGGGTTCGAATTTTCGATCCATTTACTTACTCGGGTCGGGTCCGGGTTCAAATTTCTGACCCGTTTGAACTCGAACACGAACACAAAATTGACACTCCTAATTGAGTAGTCGTCAAGCAAATATCTAAATACGTAGTATCTGTTATATAGTATTAACATGAGTTAGTATTTGGAAATTTGATATTTAAAATTGGAAATTTCACCATCTTGTACTTAAAAAATGATGATGATCAAGATTTCATGGTTCCTGGTCTATCGTGGAAGGAGAATGATGGTGGGGGGAATTATGATGATCAAGATCCTATTGTTTTATCGTCCTGGACCATCATGGTTTCTGATCTACTTAGTCAGAGGAGGTAGTCGGCCTAACCTGACAGAAGGATCTTTGTCGGCAGTCATGGGTTGTTTCGTCAAAGGGTACCTTGTAGACTTGGGGTGTATATTTATTTTAAGGGGCAAACTTGAATCCACTTTAGATAACCGAGAGCTTGCCCTATGATTATATCTTATTCATTCTTATCTCAATGATTTGAAGCCATTGGGGAGCATACGGGCTCTGACCATAACCGTAATTTAGTGGTGCCATTTTGGTCACAAAATCATCCGATTTAGAGAGTCTTGGTCATAATCATTTGTCTGCAGTTCCATTTGGCTGTGAAATCCCACGATGTGGTGTTATTTGATGACGAAACCACCTGTTAGATGACACATGTTACGTTCTTACTGGCGAGAGACTATTTAAGAATGAATCCTAGTGATATTCTCAACCAAACATTGGCTATTTGTGAGATGAATTAATTTTTAAATTGTCCACCTAAACAAACTATTGCGGAGGTTGGATGTATTTTGCTTTAAGTATTTGATGGTTTATTCTAATTTTAAATATTTTTTACTTTGGATGATTTTTTTTTTGAAATTTTGGATTTTTATGGGTATTTGGGAGGTAGTTTTGAATATTTGGGGTCCCCACTGGTTAAGATTTTCGTCCAACACAGTTATCATCGGGGTTATTATGAGCGATTTCATTTTATTGGTTGAAATCTTGTTGGCTCTGTCGACTTGTTGACAAAGGCTCAGATTAGTTGTCAGCTTTGTGACTTTATTAGTAAATTTCTTGTATTATAGACCTTGAGATTCTAATGTTAATGTATAAAACAAATATCCCCGTCAATATCGCGATCGTATAGTTGTTTGATAGTTTGAGAAGTATCAACTCCTATCTACCCACATAGAAGGATCGGGATCGAACATAGGTTTATTTCTTGACCAGTGCAGCATCTTCAAACGTCACATGTGTGCATACTACATGCTCGCCAGAGCCCATATGGGTCTATGCCTTTGCATGTATGTTGTATGATGCACTTGTATAATAATTGTATGTATGCAGTGCAGCTGGTGCTCATGATATATTTGCGTGTTATGTATTTATGTGAAACATATGTGCATTGATTTGCTTATGCATTTAGATACTATGACATGCTTGAATGACGTGTATGTATTTTGCATGATATGTTGATATACATTATAGTGGCTTAATGCACGTTCACAATATATGATGTATTTGCATGACTTGCGTGGTTAATACACATATACATTGTTTGTTTTGCTTGTGTGACACATTTGCATGATAATTCAGTACTTGCATGATGTAATTTCATAATCTATATTGCATATTGCAACGTATATCTTATATGTAGCAATGTATGTGTATCTAGTACATTATATGTTAGGAGAGGATGCCTGCACCATGTCCACTTGTCCTTGACTACATGCAATTATGATGTGTTTGTGTCACATACTTGCATGGTGCATTTTGTATGCTGCAGCATATATATGCATAATGCATTTTGCATGATGAATGGCGTATTTGTATAATTCACCCTGTATATTGCAAATGTGTGCATGTTATGAATATGTTAGCATGTGTTTCGATGTGTGAGGGTATTTTATAATGATCGATTATGTACATGTCAGACACTGGCAAGTGCGCAAGGTTTTATTTAGAAGTTTGTAGACATCTTCTATCTGCTTGCATAGATGTTGCGGATTTGGTGGCGTGGCACTGCACTGCATGTCATTTGTCGCTTTATGCAAGTAGACTGTCATGCACTAACGAGTCTCCTATCATTATGCGCAGTGCTTGCATTTATCGCAAACTCATTGCTTTTGCCTGCAGGCGAATCAATGTGTTCATTTGTCTATTGATATAGATGGTCGGGTGAGCTACATTCTCCGTTAATCTATTTGTGCACGTCAATTGGCAAACGGTTATGTTCTTTGTGTACTGACTTTCGATGCTCACGAAGAATCAATATGCATGTTTGCAAGTTGATTGATGTATTCATAAAAATTCCTTCATTGCTTGTTTGCAAAAGGTGATTTTCAGTACTTTTAGTAGACCGACATGTTCGCTTGCATGTTGATCATGTATGTAAGTTTCCCATAATGAGTCACCTGCTGGTTCGTTGATTTTTATTTCGATGACAATGATTACTAGCTAGCATTTGCATTTTCAGTGCAGTCGTGCATTTATTAGTTCTAGGTTCAATTCCCTGCTCATTCGTTGATTTTTGCATTTGAGTTGGCATAATAGCTCTTTTGATATTGATTGAAGTATTATGTTGTTGATTGCATGTTATTACACTTCTCATTTAATTATTGCTTATATGATTCATTTTCATTTTGCAATTTACAGATCTTATTTTAAATTACAGGTCATGTTCCCTGTCATTACAAGTTTGGTTCCCTTGGTGATTGTTCAAGTCCTCCGTATCTTGTATAAGTTCCCTGTTTATTTAAAAAAAATCTGTCAGCCTCCCGGCATCTCCCCTGTTTAGGGAAAATTCCAGGAGTTGGGCCTTCCTGACAAGCTAGAGAAAAGTGTGTCCGATAAGTGTCGGGTGACATCACGACCATAGTCTTCGATCCCACTACGCCAGAGAAAAGATGTGTATGGGTCTTTACGGGTACCTGTTTGAAACGCACGGTTATTTCCCTACCGGCATTGAGGCTTGCACAAGTACTTAAATTTTACCCTGCCACGCTAGAGAAAATCATGTACGGGGCCTGCCAGCCTTGCTGCAAGCACCTCATCGGGTTCACTCTCATCACGCTAGAGAAAAACATGTATGAGTGATTTTTTGGGGCGCCACGAGCGCTGAAAACGGGGTTTGAAACATTATGGCCTACGAGCGAGTTAATGAAGATGTCGAGGGCACAAGGAAATGAAATAAAAATAAAAAGAAAAAGAAAAAAAGCACAAAATTCATTCCCCTCGCTCTTCCCTTTTAATAATAATAATAATAATAATCTAGTTAATGAAAAAAATAAATAACATTTGATATGTCATCAAAAAATTATCTTGATCGGGCACGAATCTCGAGGCAAAATCAAGCCGAAAACTTCAAAAATTAAATTCGGGATCACCTGAACTCCGATTTCAGCAAACTTACAGTCAAACTGAGTGTCTCAGAAACACGAATCCAACGACACCAAATTCGACTCAATCCAAGCCCAAATGAGCCCAAATCAAGGACCCG